ATTAGTCCAATCGTCCAACATTATGTAGCCTAGATATATGAAATGGATAGAGTACCTTTTTCATTAATTCCATGAACTAGCAAACATATAGGGGGGCATGTCTCACAGTCTGGCACTGAAACTCTTCTTCAAGAAGATGCCAGGGGACTTAGCAAGACTGTTAAGTTAAAAGTTTTAACATAACTCACAGGTCCATGGATCATATATCAGGTGATTATTTTAGCTAGTCAATTGTATATATAGGATTCTGTTCAATATACTGCTAGCGTTAAAAGTCAAGGCGCTACCCCTGTAAAAGGCTGTAGATTGTCTATCTTCTGATGATAACATCTTAGCATTTGTCGCATCCATTTTCTGTTTATACCAGCAAACTTTAGAAACTGCCACTCATCTTAGTGGGACTAATCATACGTGGTATGGTCCCTGGATAGACACTTCTGAGCATGAATGTCGTTATTGGTTTAATCCATAATCTTGATCTGTCAAGTGACCTTTGTGTTTTACAGCAATAAAATTTTTCTCTAAATGGATCATTAGCTCAAATGGTAGAGCACTTGAGAATAGTTGCGCACTACTACATCTCAAGAGATGATGGTTCAAGTCCATCATGATTCTCATCTTTTTCGAATTATTATTTCTAGACGTTTTAGTTTGTTTCATAGAGCACTTGAGAATAGTTAGACAAAGGTGCCTTGTTAACCTTGCTCTTGAAGAGCCTCTTCAGAATGACTGCATTGAATCTGCTGCATGTTCTCCTCACCAAAATTGGTACAACTTGACGAGTAGCTCGAGGTAAATGTCATCAGGTTAGGTGCAGTTCTTTTGGTCTTCTTGATTTTCCCACCGGCGATCAAATCGATACCAATTGATGTTGCTGCTCCTCCTTCACCCCCTGCTTAACACATTATTAGCCAACATGAAGACGCCTATGTTCTTTTTTCTCCGCTAATAGGAAAACCAACAGTGCAGTAAACAAGGAGTTCTTCCCAACAGTCCAGTAAACAAGGCCAAAGACAGTTCCACATAAAAACCAAGCAAGGATTTTCACATCTCTTGCAACAAATGACAATAACTATTGTAATATAGAGGAAGAGAAAGGTAGCTATAAACTCAGCTATTTAAGCTTTATAAAATAATCCTACAATGATATATGCTTTTAGGATCTTGGTGGATTCGAACCATCATCTCTTGAGATGTATTAGCTAGGGGTTGCTTATACTCTCAAGTGCTCTACCATTTGAGCTAACGATCCATTGAGAGAAAAATTGTATTGTTGTAAACACATATAACATGATGAGCATGATCCTTCAAACCAATGAGTTAAAAGAAGAATGGTATATCACAAGGGAACATTATGATCTAATAATTTTCATAAGATCGTTTCAAAAGAAAATACAAAGAATAATTCAGTTGGTCCAACATACCCAATAGCAGCAGAAATTTCTCTTTCACTACTTTGTAAAACCAACAGAAGCTCCTCCAAAAGTGCCTTAAAGTCATCTAAACCTTTATTGAAAAGATAAATGAGAGCACCATACAAACCATGCTCGCGACATAGCCTAACTACCTACAAAAACAAGTATGATAAATAATTAAATACCAACAAGCATGAGAGAGCAAGTTTGTATAATCAAAAGGACTAAATGGAAATGACCAACATTAAACTTACTATGGAGAATCCAAGCAACAAACTTCAAGGTTCAAGCACCATAAAAAACTTACCTGATTGAAATCCGAGGAAGAAATATCCATGTGAAGGACACACTGTTCAACTCGTTGCAACCACCTTTTGTTGCTGTAATGTTCAACCAGTGTTTGCATTATCTATTTAACAGGGGGGACAAAAAATAGTGAAATCATTAGCTAAGATGAAAAACTGCACTTTTATCAATAGCTAATAACCACAAACAAAAAACACAACAAATCATCAATTGGATTACAGAATGAGCATATATTGACAAAATGGGGAAGAAGAGGATTATTAATAATACCCGACTTGATTATTCTTTGTTGGACATGAATTAATAATACACGACAGATCATCAATAGTGAGCTTGAAGATTCCATCAGATATCAAATGCAACTTAATGGATCAATGCACAATAGCTTAGTAATGGTTATACCTCCATGTTGGAAAGCCACAAATTTGGAGAAAATCTCATCAAAAAAAAATATATATATATGCATGGACCAAGCAACACTGTGAAACAAATAAGCAAACCATACCTACAAATGCGCAACTAAGGACCATACGAAAAAGAAGAAGAAAAACTGATGGGCAGCTTCAATTTTGATAAATAAGAGAAAAACTGATTGAGTTGGGAATATTATCAAACAGTTGCTTGGCAATATTTTAATTTCTCCAC